AAAGACAAGTCAATTAGTCTATCGTGATAAATACAGCTGGAATTTAGCATGCGTCCTTTCCCGTGGCTAAGGAAAATTAATAATCGAGGTTTGGGCAGCGGCATTTTCTTTTAAAACATCACCAAAGCCTAACTGTAATTGCCAACCCACCTGCTAAACATGATAACTATTGACATAAACTCAATTGAAATTTCAATTCTTTTTTTAAATTTAAAATCATATAATCTATGATATTACATCATAATATAACGAAATAGTAATATTTTATAGTGAAATACTATGAAATATCAAAACACAACAATGTAATAATCATATTATAATCCTACCGCGACGTGCGGAATCAGCTGTGTCCTACCGCGACGTGCGGAATCAGCTGTGTCCTATCGCGACGTGCGGAATCAGCTGTGTTCTACCGCGACGTGCGGAATCAGCTGCGTCCTACCGCGACGTGCGGAATCAGCTATGTAAGTCACAAGTGTACGAAAGTACCTACAAAGAAGCTCCATTAACAGTGCGCTGTAAGTATCGCGCGTCGTGCGGATCGTATAATTTCAAATACATTGCGCGGTGTCGAAACTAAGCATCATTAATTCATTCAATCATTTCCCACTGGAAATGCACCACAGTCATATTTGGTTATAGAATGAGCTCCTTATCGAGGTTTTTCCAAGAGACTACAGCTCGGGATTCTTCAAAAAAGGGATAAAGAGGTTTTTTCAGGGTCGGCAACGAGCGCGTAATTCTTCTGATATTACAAGAGTTCATAGGCTACAGTAACCGATTGCCATCAAATGAGCTGTATACTTGTTTTCCACCTCAGTGGTATAAAAAAAATATTGCTAAAAGTGCCAAGTATTTATTTACAGATTTATTGTTGGAAAGACTAATTTTAATATTATAATATGGCAATTCTAAAAATTGCCCTCGCTCTCTTCCGTTACAACAATCGTCCAATGTGCAACTAAGTGTGTAAAAATATAATTAAAATATATATATTGTAAAATTAAAAGGTAGTTTTGCAATATAAAGTACAAATTCCAATACTTATCTAAAACCTCATTTTAGATATACGAGTATGTATTTATATAAAAAGTATGTATTTATATACGCGTCATGTATATGAAACACATGAACCGTATATTCGCCGGTATCATATCATTACATCGTAGTATTAGATACAAAACGTTTCAAGCAGTTTCCATTTCACGCACAAACCACAATACCATTTATATAGGGCTTAAATCCACTAGTTATAGGCTACATATCCTGGATTAGTTCATATTACGGCGCAAAATTCACGTAATAATCGTATATACACAAATATTGTTTTACTTCCAAATAAGTATATTAAATGTTTTAATATGTTCAATGTAAATAATGATTTTAGAATACAATATAATATGTATATATAATTTTGCTTCATATTTATGTGTGTATATGTGTATATATATATATATATATATATATATATATATATATATATATATATATATATATATATATATATATATATATATATATATATATATATATATATATATATATATATATATATATATATATATATATATATATATATATATATATATATATGGCAAAACCTCCCTTTTGGGAGTGGCCTATGTTCAACTGTGAACAAAAATGGTGATGATGAATTGATATGATGGTGATTACAGTGATACCATTTTAAACTATATCTTCAACAAATCGTATCCCGATCACGTAGATGAAGTCACGAATTTAAATTTGTTTTACATAAAAAACATTACAATTTGTATGTTACACTCATTAAATATACATTATTAAGTGTTATTATCTACACCAGGGGTTCCCAATCTTATTTTGTCTACTGCCCACTTTGAGAATAAATTATTTTTTATCGCCCCCATTTCTTCACATACTTAAAAATCACTATTACTTCCAGATCAACAAATCACCTCCCAAGCCTTTACACAATGACTCCATTTTTTTCTGGGTCTCTTACCGCCCCCCCCCCCCCCCCCTTAGGTCTGCGGCGCCCACAAGGGGCCACTCTGGGAAAGGCTGCTCTACATCTACCCTAATAATGGGGAGCCACGTTCGTGATTCAGATGGTTACCCCAAAAGTTGATTATTTCTTATCATGATATTAATCTGTTACCTATCATTTTTTATTTTTAACTAGCTGTTTCCCGTAGCTTTACCCGCACAATTTAGTATATAAAGTATATAAACTATTCGGATGTAACCTACCCAACTGTCTACCAAATCTTTTTTAAATCCATTCAGCTATTTAAGCGTGATTGATTATCAAATGAACAAACTCCCATACATCTTTACAAATTTTCACATTTATGAATATTTTTTTTTTGTTGTTTCTCGCTATATTTTCGCAAAAATATTTAGTTACACTAGTAGGAATTAAACTCTGTGTATCTATGATAATTTATCACACAGTGATATCATCTGTCCATACCCCAATTATTATTTTGGGGTCGTCGTAATATGTTTTTCTCTTCCATTCTTCTCCATTCACAGTAATTTCCATACTCACTCCCATTCTAGTCATATCGTCTTTCACACACTCCATCCATGTCTTTTTAAGTCTTCCTCTGATCTAAGTTGTTAATTTAATCGATTTTGCTTTTTACACTATAAAATAATGTAATTTATCGCTTTGAATTTTTCTTAAGAGATTATTAAGAGCCTAAGAGATTTTTTTATACCACTGAGGTGGCAAACAAGCATACGGCCCACCTAGATGATAAGCGGTTACCGTAGCCTATGAACGCCAGGCTTTATATTTACCTTTATATTTTTTTATATTTACCTTCTTTCAGAATCCCGTACGAAGTTACGCGAAAAACTAATAATATACTTACAATATATATTCCAATTTCACTTTGAATAGATTTGCAATCTTTCGTAATCTGTTTAACAGCTAAATTGAGTAAATATTTTCCCGTATCCGAGTAAAACTCGCGAGCGTTTTTTTTTTCATTTATAAAGGCAAATATTTTACGAGTGAAGTAGAAATAAGATCTTAATAATCCAAATTATATTTCGATATTTATTTGCTCGAATTATGAAAGTATTTATAGAAATTATATATATATATATATATATATATATATATATATATATATATATATATATATATATATATATATATATATATATATATCTCTGATTATACAAGTTTAAATTGAAATGATTATCGTAATTTTAACAGAGTGTTTTATCAGGAAACTGAATATTTTTCCCAGAGAAATATAGATCGAAAAATAACAAAATCACTGCTGGATACCGCCTTTGTATGGGAGACTCACAATACATACGTTTAGCGGAATGATGATAATAATGATGAAAGAGATTCACTCAATCGGAATATACTTTTTTTCAAATGATGGTATCAGTCATCCAATGGTAGATGTACCATCCGATGGTAAATATTACATATAAATGCCTAAACAAACAAAAGAAATGAAAGAAAACTAATATTTAAAACAATTTAGAACTATCCTGTCAATAAAAAAGCAATTATTAATATCGAAAATAGTAAATTTATCTTATAAAAAAATAGAATAAAATAGAATAGAAATTTATTGTTTGACAAAAACACAATGTTACAAACACAAGATACAATGGCCTCCACACTAGGCGAACCTGTATCGTGGGCACCCGATAAAAATTCACCATCTGTTACAATAAAAAGTAAATAGTGGGCGATTATTAATACAAAAGAAAAATATAAAATTTACATAATGATCAATTACTGATCGGGCAATACTGAAAATTTCTAACGTTAATGAAATCAATAAATATAAATATACAAGCAATACAAAATTTTACCAAAAGGAGATTTTTTACAAAAATCGTTTGTTTGGGTGACCTCTGTCCCATTCGTGTTTCAAACGTGAAGCAGTTGTGTTTGCATAGCTGTATTTCGGTTTGAAGGGCATGGCGATATGGCAGTGAATTTACAGGATACAGAGGAATAACATCTGAGTCCTTAGGAATGGCAACGCGTGGAACGTATCATGGGCGAAACAGTATACTCTGTTATGTCCATGGTACTGCACATGTCTATAGGCGACGGTTAATACTTTCCATCAGGTGGACCATCAGCTTGTTTGCAATTCTAAGTTATATAAAAGTTACAAAATATATGTGCCTAAAAGAAGCAACAAGTTGCTTATTGAAACATGAAATATAATAGAAAATATAAAATACTTTCCAACATAAAAGCTTTCTGTTGCCGATTAAAGGCATCCTTAGAAAATTTCCTGCTTTAAATACACAGCATTACCAGTACTAATTAATTAATTATTCAAATACAAAACTGGAAAATAAACGCCCTATCAGTCAGTAAAAGGGTTATAGTTGAGTCAATTTAATTCTATAATTAGTATGAAAGGCACACGAATAGCTTAGAAAACAGCTTTATTTGCATATCTCACTCAGCTTGTTCCCTACCAAATGGTCTATAAAATGCTTCGATAAAGACAAGGTAAAATAATAAAATGTTTCAGCCTATTCCGTTAATGTCCTAATTTATTTTTATTTGCCTTCAGTTTTTAGTATAGATGATATAAATTTTTATTACTTTAGTAATTAGTCTAAAGACCGACCTTTAACAGTAATTGGCATGTTATTTTTCATAAATTAAGTACCAGATTCGATCTTGTTTGGGACAATTTATGAATTTTCTAAATTGTTACCGATGTTTTTATAGCATATTAGACTTTGTACAAAAGTCGTTTGCTTGGGTACCTCTGTCTCTTTCGTATTTCAACCGTGAAACAGTTGTGTTTGCATAGCTGTGTTTCGGTTTGAAGGGTGGGATATGGCAGTGAATTTACAGGGTACAGAAGAATAACACCGTGGACAAAACAGTATTCTGTTACGTCCATGGTACTGATTATGTCTATAGGCGACAGTTACCACTTTCCATCTGGTGGGCCGTCAGCTTGTTTGCCATTCTAAGTTGTATAAAAAAAAATATAATTTATTTTTTACAGGGCAATCACATAACAACTCCTACGCGCTGTATCGTTTGAAAGAAGTGGCTAGACCTTCGATCCGCGACTTCGCCCAGTACGGCAAGATAGACGACCTTGTGAAGGAAGGCGAAGAGGAGCCGAAGGTCTACGACCAGTTTTCCGCTCGAGCAGTCGGCTTTGGTGTCGGTGAGACCAACAACGTAGTCCTGGTAGATGGAGGCCATAGTTTTGTAAGTTGTATGAAATGCTAAGTAAGTTAATAAATAAAAAAATTCTAAAAAACTAAAGTGCGTGACAAACAAACAACATATCTATGTTCCTTTTTCATAAAAAACGACCGATTTATAAACTTTATCGACATTTTTTCTCACTTTCCCTTTAAACTTAATCTTGCTGGTTACTCTGTTTGAGCCATAGACTGTTTTATTTGCTCTTCTAATACAGTTAATTATTTGTTACAGTAATATTTTATTTATTTATTTAATTATGCATAGCTTCTTCACAGACAGAGAGAGGGACAGAGATATCCATGTACATGATTTTTGTATAGAATCTGCCGCAGATGACGTTATAGAACGGTCAGCTTACTTGCTATAAATAAAGATAAATTTTGCGGGCTACTCGCCCGAGTAACAAAAGGTATTTCCGTTTGCAGGTGTCCCTAATCTGTCGCATAATACCATCGCCAGATTGGTTTATCGGTGTAGACAGTGTAGACATGTGTGTCGACTCCACTTGGATAGAACAAATCACATTAGACGTGAGTAATATAGAAGGTATTTGGAAACGGCTTCAAAAGGAGAAAGTCTTTGATTGAACTATAGTTTTGTATATATAGTGCAATGTAATCTTCAAATTGTGAATCAAATTTAATGATTCTTTCGTATTAATTTCATTGATATGATTGATGATGACGGATTCCAAATAAAGCGAAATGGCCTAGGATAAGGATGATCATTATCTTTTTCTGAGAACTTTCTCAGAGCAAGATCATGGTCATCCAGGTTTTCGAGGTATATCTTAAAATTATGTACGTTTTAAGAACAATATGAATATATATATATAAAATATAATATGTAACCAATATTAAACTTAACCCTATCAATTGCAAAAAAATCCGAAAACAGTTTGGAATCGTCGACGTGTTCGCATAACATAACCATAAAATCAAAGAAATTAAAACCCCTTTTGATTTTTTTTTACTTTATTAATTATTCATTAATGCATCAAATTTGTTTTAAAAAGTGAAAATGAAACGGTAGCCCTGCCTTCGCTATCAATTTATGCTGAGGGGGTTCCAGTGATGATAGGTGAAGATGAATGTAGATCAATTGGCCAATCTTGATAAATTAATGAATTAACCACAATGGTTTTCATGGACCTAATATATATATAATATTAGCAGTGGGGCTGTTAGACCCCATTATTAGCAAATCCCTTTCCTCGTATCCTAAAATTATAAAGTTATTAAGTACAATAATTAATGAAAATTACATATATAATCATAATTTATATAAGATAAATATATATAATTATTTATATTGTGATTATCTTCCATTATCACAATCTGTAAAATATAAATTAATTTCATTTCAAAACTACATAACATTCAAAATTATGACAAAATAAATATAGCATTCATTCACCGTGTGGTCCCAGCATAGAATAGGCCACCCCTTTCTTTCCCGTGGATGTCGTGAGAGGCGACTAATGGAGAGCGACCAATGGGCAGCAGCGTCCCTTTTAAAACATCTCCAAAGCCTAACTGCGGTTACCAATCAGCCTGTCAAACGTGGCAACTACTGGCAAAAGATGACAGTTAGAGGCTGATATGATAATTATGACGAAATGTAGCATTCGATTAAATTCCACACTTCATTTTGCAAGTGAAAATTTTGTAATGTATAAAAACACTTTTTATTAGAAACTAACAAAATCCTCAGAAATGGCAACGCATGGAGACGACACAATATATTCTGTTATGTCCATAGTACTGCTTATGTCTATAGGCGACGATTACCACTTTCTATCAGGTGGGCTGTCAGCTTATTTGCTGTTCTAAGTTGCATAAAAAAACTGTTTTAATTCAGTGATAAAAAGTTTTTTTTTATCTTACAATATGTAACTTATTAAAAGTCTAGAATAATTATGTACTAAAAATAATTTCTGTCAACAGCTACATCCTCTAGATGCAGGCGCGGCGAGCGGACTTACATTCACGGCTCCACGATGGGAGACTTCACCACCAGAACCTGTGACCAGGCACGAGCCAAGAGTTCCTAATCACCCTGCAGCGGGCTTCTATTATCCTGAACTTAAAGAACTGCCAGCTATCGGCAAAGTAGAATTTACGAAGGTAAATAATAAATAAATAGATATGCTGACGACTCCATAACGATGGGAGGAAAGAAATTGTTAATGCTAGAGACTAAGAATCCACTGCTAGCAATATACCCAGCCAGGTCGACCTCCTCGCGGTTTTCCCTGGTAACTATCATGGTTTATTCCTGATGAATTCATCATGATGGGCTAACTGGCCTGTTTTCATTCTCATCGATCACCCTTCACTGGTGCTCCGCCAGCGTATCCCGTTAGCGCAGGCGGGGTTACAATTCCATTTTCACCCATAAAAAAAACTCCATCACGATGGGGGGAAGGAATTATTAGACATGAGATTTAACAACCTCATTGTTAGCAATATTCCCTATCAGATCGACCACCAACCAGTTGCCCCTGGAATCCATCATTTTGTGAAATTCGTCACAATGAGCTAACTGGTCTGCTTTTATCCACTTCTATCATCTCTCAGTGGAGCCCCGCCAACGTACCTATACTCACTCATTATGTAAATATTCACAAATGCCTCTGACTACTCCATTAACAATTATGGTCGTTTTATATTTAACTAGCATTTTCACGCAACAACGTGAATTTTGGAAGTTGTTTACCTACATATAAAGAATTTATCTGCAAAATTTTAGGAGTCTAGATTCAGCGGTTTCAAGTATACAGTGATATATGGGTCAGTCAGTCACTCAGCATCTTCTTTTATATACTATATATAGATTATTTCTTTATATAGATTGGCCGTATGGTCCCGGCATAGAATAGGCCACCCCTTCCTATCCCGTGGGTGTCGTAAGAGTCGACTAAGGGAGGGTGAGGGATGGGCAGCAGCGTCCCTCTTAAAACATCTCTAAAACCTGACTGCGGTTACCAAGCGTGGCAACTACTGGCAAAACCTCCCAAGGGGGAGCTTTATATTTAGCAGTGGACGGTTAAAAGCTGATATGATGATAATGATACAGATTCTTTCAATTTAAAAACATATCACTAGTCAACGTCGCGAAATTCAATTACGTTTATAGATAGACACTATCTTTATTAGTATATGTTATATGATTACATTCGAGCTCCATCGAACCCAGTTATTACGCCATGATGGAAACTAATTGCTTAATTAAATTATCCGCCTGATACATCCAATTTCGAGATGTTACTAGCATAATTAAAATAGAAACATGTCTATTTCTCAGGATCAATATAATATTAGAAATATTAATAATATAATATACTAAATACATAATGTTTTTATTTTGTTTACTTTTGGGCAAACAGACAGCTAGAACAATACGTAATTAGACATTTAAATAGTAATTAGCCACTAAAGTTTGCACAAATTTAATACAAGTGAAGGAAACACAAAATTAAACAATACTAAATTAAACAAATTAAAAAATACTATCGAAAACTACAGCAACATTGTCAAAAATAATGCTCAGATGTTAACAAAGTCATCCATTTTTTGAGAACAACACATTATTTGAGAATGATACCTGTATAACTATTAAAAAAAAAATTAAAAAGTAAAATATGAAAACAAATTTGAATTAAGAAAATTAAGACTTCTGACTGTATATTTAAGAAAAAATATATAAAAAAGAAATCTCTGACAACAAACTAAAAACGTTAATTACATATTAACGCTACATGCCGTTTAATCTTACTTTTAAACTTTATTTTTAAATAATTAGTACCTAGTTATGTTTTTAAAGACAATATCGTCAACTTTTGTCCGCGTGATCGGGGCATTTTTCTAAATGAATGAATGGTTTATTTTCTCTTCATGAAAGGTAGTAAAAAGTAACAGCTCGAGTTACAATTAAATATATAAGACCAATTTTGTAAGAGACTGATACCTGAAGTAGGTTAAGAGCCTGTGTTACAAGTGACCAGTGCCCCATCTTCATGAACTACACAAATGTAAGGCAATCAATTTGTGTTACGATATACAGAAAATAATAAAAAGACATTAGATATTGTATTGTATTGTATTGTAAAATCTTCATTATACATAATACAAATTGAACACTGATAAATGATTTAATATACAATGGCGGACTTATCCCACAAAGGGATCTCTTACAGTCAACCTTTGAGAAGCTGAAAGAAAACTAAAATGTATAAGGGTAATAACCGTACAATTAAATATAAACTAAATAATAGCCAGTAAAATATTGAATATATAATACAATAAGAACAGCTCTATATACCTACATATGTAAATAATAAAAGTACATGAATAATAATATAACATATAAATTTGGTAAATGTATTTATGCACCATTAAAGTTTCTTTTTTAATTTTATTAAAAAGAACTGATTGTTCGTGATTTGAAGTTAGTGTCAGTTTAGTTTTTGTTTTGTTCGCTTTTTTGTTGCCTTGGTTTTGCTTTGTGTATTTTTTACAATCATATTATATTTCTAAAACACAATGTTTCCATACCAGCATACAGTCCTTTCGCCCACAGTATTACTACATGGAGTAAAGTATATACTTCTTCATTCCATATAGTACATGTGTACTAAATTTCATAATGATCAGTTAAGCCGTTATGACGCTAAGAGGTAACTAGATTAAGATTGTATTCTGTAAAGCAAATCGTCATCGATTGTGGCATAACCAGTTACTTTTATTTAAAAACTAAACTGCTGAACCGATTTTAATAAATATTATACGTTATTATTAAGTACAGGACATACAGATAGGTCCCATACGAATTTTCAGATAAAAAAAGAATTTACCAAATTGGTTTATAACTGACCGAATTGTGGGATAACAATAATAAAAAAAAAACGTCTCCAGAACCTCCTTCTTTTTGAAATCGCTAGAACACAAACAAACAAACTGAATATTACATTTAAATATTAATAAAAATATAAATAGTTAATATTAGAGATTATTATTATAAAAACACAAATAAGTCCTCTTTAAAATATTTAATACGTAAGAAGTGGGGGGAAAGGGATTGTTGGTAATGGAGACTGAGAGTTCCATTGCTTGCAATATACCCAACCAGGTGGACCTCCTTGCGGTTCCCTCTGGAAACTATCATGGTTCATTTCTGACGAATTCATCATGATGGGCTAACTGGCCTGTTTTCATTCTCATCTATCACCCTTCACTGGTGCTCCGCCAGCGTATCCTATTAGCGCGGGCGGGGTTACCATGCCATTTTCACCCATAAAAAAAACACGTAAGAAGTAATTACACAAGCAGATACCTGTTAATTTATAGAAAAAAAAAAACCACGAATATATTTAAATTAGAATGCAAATACGAATCACCGTCAACAAATAAAATTTGTTCCACCACGAGCAACGTTTTACTTCGTTAAAAAAAATCGCCCAATAAGATTTGTTCACAAAAATCTGACTTTAATTGTGGCTAAATCTATTTTGATTTCAAAACTAAACTATAGGAGCAATTTTAATAAAATTTCAATGCGATCAATCAGTAAGTATATCCTTATAGATAAAAAAAAAAATTCTGAATAAGTTTTTTTTTTATGGGTGATAATGAAATAGTAACCCCGCCCGCACTATAAGTATACACCGGCGGGGCACCAGTGAAGGATGATAGGTGAGGATGAAGCAGGTCAGTTAGCCCATCGTGACGAATTCAACAAGAATTGTTCACGATGGTTTCTAGGGGGAACCACGTGGAGGTCAACCTGATATTGTTAGCAATGGGGCTGTCAAACTCCATTGCTAATAATCCTTTTCCCCCCTTTCTGAATAGGTTTATAACTGACACAGTTACGAAGTAATAAATGTAAAAATAAACGCAACCAAATTGAGAACAAAAAAGAAAAGGCGAGGGATGGGCAGCAGCGTCCCTCTTAAAACATCTCCAAAGCCTAACTGCGGTTGCCAATCCGCCTGCCAAGCGTGGCAACTACTGGCAAAACTCCCTTCGGGAGAGGCTTATGTTCAGCAGTGGACAGTTGGAAACTATGATGATGATGATGATGAATTAGAAACCTCCTTCTTTTTGAAGTCGGTTGAAAAGATCGCAAATCGCATCTATTACTATTATGTACTTTTTTTTATACAACTTAGAATGACAAACAAGCTGACGGCCCACCCGATGGAAAGTGGTAACCGTCGCCTACAGACATGAGCAGTACCATGGACATAACAGAGTATATATACTGTTTCCTCATGATACCTCCCATGCGTTGCCACTCCTGAGGACTCAGGTGTTATTCCTTCGTGCCCAGTAAATTCACGCCATATCCCACCCTTCAAACCGAAACATAGCCATGCAAACACAACTGCTTTACGGTTGAAACACGAACGGGACAGAGGTACCCAAGCAATCGACTTTTGTACAAAGTCTCCCTCTGGTGTACTCTGTAAATACACGCATATTTGTATGTATATAGAAACCTGTACATATATATATATATATATATATATATATATATATATATATATATATATATATATATATATATATATATATATATATATATATATATATATATATATATATATATATATATATATATATACATATAATGTAATACATATGTATGGTTTATATCTTATTTTCAGATGAACGAGTATTCAACAAAGGAATTAAACGAACTCGTCAAAAAGGACTTATTGTCTAAACTGAAACAGAAAGACATTTACAAAGGATATCCTAAAAGTCGGCTTGTCGATGACGCTTTAAATAATAAAGATGAATCGACGACAAAGAGAGAAATGGATCGACTCAAAAATCTAGAAGAACAGCCTTTGGGAACTCCGAAACCTAATTTGCCGGAAAATAATGTCGTTATTGTAACGCAAAGTACAACAACGTAAGTTTTGTGTATTATAATTCTTTTATTTGATCTGTAATCGAATGTAAGACAACAGTTATGCGAAGCAACGTTGTATCTATTCTATAGCAATTTGTTTAATTGCGCTGCGGTGATCTTTTAAGAACGACCACTGAATAATTCTGATTTACGTATTGATTTATTATATGTACACAATATATGTGTGTGTATGAGTGTGTATGTGTGTATATATATATATATATATATATATATATATATATATATATATATATATAATGATTTATTATTTATGTAAATATTTATTTTAATTTCTGTTTAGCACTACTACTGCCCACTCACTACTTCCTATGCCCCTGTGTTAGGTTGACTGGAACAAATCTCCTTTAGAGATAAGTTCGCCTTTGCTAACATTGTTATTAACTTATTGTTGTTACTGTATGTTTTAGTGCAATAAAGAATATATATATTTATTAAACTAGTTTTTACCCCCAATTTTGTTTGTGTAACTGCAATATGTTGATTTGTCAGAACATAAAGTAACATATGTATATCCTTCTCTACTACCAAACTATCTGTATACCAAATTACGTGACAACTGGTTGAGTAAAGTGCCAAGAAGCAACAAACTCAGTTTCATATTTCTAATATTCATAAAGATGAAGTACTAACCACTACTTAAGTACATATAAATTTCCTACCAATGTAAATACAATTGGATATTAAATATTCAAAAGCAATTGAAATAATTGGCACCGAAAACCTTTTACACTTTTATTTTTTTTATTTCCAGCAATTTTTATTTATTATTAGCCTTTCGCTAATATTCTTGCTATTTATATATATATTATATACACTAGTAGACTAACGTCTAGACTCGTAGTCAAGTTAACCATTATTTTTCCATTAGCATGATCATAACAAATAAATGGGGATTTTATTAGATCCTTCATGGTTTCTACACATTTACAACATTGTTGTAGAACGAGACGAGTAAAACCGACACCCAATTACAGATGTGCAATATTTTTCGGGTTTATGTCCACACAAATATTATATACCATATAAAGAGAAGGAATTTGATTTTTCGTATGTTTGTAATATTACAAACATACGAAAAATCAAATTCCTTCTCTTTATGTATACATATGTAAATTTAAAAACTATTTACAGAGAAATTCTTTCACCTATATAAAAATATATTATAAGCAAGTAAATAAGCTGTACTCGTATATTATTTTCAAAAATTTATATATCCCGCTAAAATCAATATAATGTTATTAAAAGTAACATTTTTGTTCTTTAGCAGAGCACTTATTTAACAATCAATCAAAAACGTTGAAAAATAGTCAACTGTTTTTGAAAATTAACCGATAATTGGGACGTTTTCATACTTCATTGTGAATGCTCTTAAAATTTATTTATTTACTTATTTACCAGAGGGAGACTTTGTACAAAACTCGTTTGCTTGAGCACTTCTCCCCCTTCATGTTTCTACCGTGAAGCAGTTGTGCTTGCATAGCTGTTTCAGTTTGAAGTATATGGCAGTGAAGTTACAGAGTACAAATAAATAACACCTGAGTCCGCAGGAATGACAACACATGGTAGGTATCTTGAGCGAAACAGTATATTCTGTTATCTCCATGGTACTACTCATGTCTATAGGTAACGGTTACCTCTATCCGTCAGGTGGACCGTCAGCTTATTTGCCATTCTAAGTTACATAAAAAAATAACTTTATTGTCGAATAAAGCCTAACAGCAGTCGCCAATCAGCCTGCTAAGCAAGGCAACTACTCGCAAAACCGCCCAAGGGAAGGCCTATATTTATCAATGGACAGTTGACATGTTAATATGATTGACCAATAAAATGATACAAAAGATTGAGGGTGGACGTAATGCTATATGCATTCTGTACTACTCAACCTTTAGAATGTACAAAAATACACAATGGCAAATTAAATTATAAAATAACTTATATAAATAGTAAAGTAATAAATGGTAATAAATAACAACGTATTATCATTTAATTTCAGAACAACAGAAAACGAATTCGGCGATGATCTTAGAAACATGGATGACGTTGTGTTAGCAGTGGCTAACGGGCGCAAACTGGGCTTGAAGAAACATCTACCGAGACATTTCAGATCACGGTTACATCACGCTGTCAACAGGATTCAACGTATATATTTTAATTATCATTTTATTATTTATCATTATATATTACCTTTTGACATTGATGACCTTTTTTTGGTCATCAATGTCGAGAGGAACCCAATATGTAGATGTAGATCAGAGGAAGACTTTGTACAAAAGTCGATTGCTTGGGTACCTCTGTCCCCTTCGTGTTTCTACCGTGAAGCAGTCGTGTTTGCATAGCTGTGTTTCGGTTTGAAGGGTGGGATATGGCGTGAATTTACTGGGTACAGAGGAATAACACATGAGTCCTCAGGAATGGCAACACATGGGGGGTATCATGGGCGAAACAGTATACTCTGTTATGTCCATGGTGCTGCTCATGTCTATAGGCGACTGTTACCACTTTCCATGAGGTGGGCCATCAGCTTGTTTACTATTCTAAGTTGTATAAAATGCTATGCTATGTATTACACACCCCTAATGGTAATATTCATGTCTATAAATTACAAATCCTACATTCCATTAAAATCATATAAAAAATTAAAAGCAATTCGAATGTTCGACTTTGATAAAAAAAATAACAGATAACTTTCTCTTTTTTGAAATCGGTTAAGTTGTAGGTATATGTATTATACACTTATATGTATATTTTATAAGTATTCTCACATTCCACAGCTAATGACTGTTTGGTTTCGGACTGGAGTGAGTGGACTCCATGTTCGGTGACTTGCGGTTTCGGAGACAAGTTTCGGTCCAGAACCATCCTGAGAAACAAGAAGGACGACGGCCGAGAATGTCCCATTCTAGAGGATAGGACACACTGTGGAAATATTAACTCTTGTGTGAAAATTGACTATTTTGATTGGTAAATTTTATGAAATTATAATATAATTTATATAGCGTTTTATAAATAAAAAATTTTGACTTTATTTTTTATTTATTTTTATTTTATTTTATTGGCACATATGATAAAACAGATCACAACCATAAAAAACTTAAGTAATAATTACATTTGTGATTCGGCTAGGTTATAATCCAATTACATTATGTGCACAGCTTGAGTAATTCATTAAAAGCAAACACATAATATAAAAAGAAATACTTAAAATGTTATATAAATATATAAAAGATAAAACTATATATAAAAAAAAACATATTTTCAATCGTATTCTACAAAATAGAAAACAAGTGCTTCCTAAAAATCAAATATTTTGTACCGAATATGTCGATGGATTTGTGGTCGAGCAGTAAGTCGTTATAATGACGACACATCCTTACCACAGGATTATAATAAGAAGTGTTATTTTTGTAGACAATTTATGAGTAGGATTACGTGCTTTGTACCTCGTTTATTTAAATTTAAATAAACCACGTAGAGGTCAACCTAATTAGATGTATTACTAGCAATGCGACTGATCGTCTGCATTACTAACAATCCCTTCCCCGCCGGATATCCAATGTTAAGAGACACCTGACTTTCAGAAGCACATCCCAGAATACCCAAAATCAAGTCAATTCAGAATAGTTCATTTTCTAAATGGCTCGAACGAGAAATCAATAAAATCACTTATACAAAGTGACACGCTTACCAGTACACTACGAAAATCGTCAATAATCACAAATATATTTTTTTATACTACTTAGAATGGTAAACAAGCTGACGGCCCACCTGATAGAAAGTAATTACCGTTGCCTATAGACATGAGCAGTACCATGGACATAACAGAGTATACTGTTTCGCCCATGATACCCTCCACACATATTATCAAACAAATCTACTGAAATATTTAAGATGTTTTCTAATGATTTTATTAGGGGGAAGGGGTTGTTAGTAACAGGGAGGTTAGTCCCCATTGCTATCAATATATCTTATCAGGTCGACTTTCATGGGGTTCCCCCTGGAAACCATCGTGACTAACTTATCGTTGAATTCGTCACGATGGGCTAACGGACCAGCCTTTAGCCAGCCGCCAGTGTATACTGATAGCGCAGTCGTGGTTACCATTCCATAATCATCTATTTAAAAAAAATCTATTATTCTAATAGATTCTTTTTTTTTTAATTAATAAATAATTTCGACAACCGAAATAATACAAAAAACTTTAACACACACTTTCTGTTTATAATTGTTCAGTCTGAGAAAAAACAAGGGCCTTTTTTTGGTGGGTAAAAATGGTACGGTAACCCCACCTGTACTAACGGGATACGCTGACGCACCAGTGAAGGGTGATAGATGAGAATGAAAACAGGCCAGTTAGCCCATCGTGATGAATTCATCAGGAATTAACCATGATAGTTTCCAAGGGGAACCGCGAAGAGATCGACCTAGTTGGGTATATTGCTAGCAATGAGGTTCTCAGTCTCCATTACTAACAATCCCTTTCCCTCCAAACAAGGGCATTTAGTATCAACTAGCTTATTATGGCCAGAGTTATGAAAGTAAAAGTAAAGAAATCTTATTATACAAATATTTGCTAATTTAATTCTCACTGTCCACCGCTTCAGTAATCTAATATAAAGGCATACACACATCTACATTAGTAAATATTTAATTTAATCACACTGAGATACTAAAAAAGCTGCGTGCGTAGCTGTAAAGGGAGACCACTTTATAGAGGTCCTCGAGTGTCAATAAAATGGCACACCGGCCGGCGAGATTGCGAATAAATATTAAATACGACTCTGACCACTGAATAAATTGTAGTAATACATACTTCTCTGTATACTATAGACTTACTTTAATACTATAAACGTTATATTATTATTGTATCGATGATCCCAGGCTTGCAAGCGGTATCGAACCCTTAAATCTTAGGAGAGATTTTGCCTCACTCTGCGTGTTCTACCGCTTGTACAACGGATTGTGCTCAGAGGAATTATCAATATGATACCTACGGCCACTTTCTATCATCGTACGGCTCGCCATCGACAGGGAGTTCACCCTCATACCTTACAGCCTAAATGGTCGCGTACAACGCGATTTCAGAGATGTTTTCTCCCACGAACACTCCACCACAAGGTTATGAAATGAGCTCTCTGCTGAGGTTTTCCCAAGAGACTACAACATGGGGTTCTTCAAAAGTTGGGTAAAGAGGTTTCTTCAGGGTCGGCAACGCGTGCGTAATACCTCTGGTAGTGCAGGCGTTCATAGGCTACGGTAACCGCTTACCATCAGGTGGGCCGTATGCATGTTTGCCACCTCAGTGGTATAAAAAAAAGTCCATAAAGAGAGTTTTGCCAGTAGGGCATACGGACTTGGTATTCGGGTTTTTTTTTTGATGAGTGAAAATGGGATGGGTGAAGGGTGGTAGATGAAAATCAAAACAGGCCAGTTAGCCCATCATGATGAATTCATCAGGAATTAGCCATAATAATTTCAAGGGAGAACCGCGAAGAGGTCGACCTGGTTGAGTATATTGCTAACAATGGGATTCTCAATCTCTATTACTAACAATCCCTTTCCCCCCGGCAGTCGGGTTAGCAACCGCAGTTAGGCTTTGGTGATGTTTTAGGAGGGAGAACTATTATGTTTCCTTAATTGCCTCCTACGACACCTACTGGAATAGAAGGGGTGGCCCGTTCTATGCCGGAATCACACGGCAAATTTGTAAAAGTGGCTTATAAAAATTGTTTATGATTTTGCACAAAAAAAAATTTCATCAGTTTGGGCATCACTACCACCAGAGTTAAACTTATTACAAAAATCAGACGTATGTATGAATGCCTCTACCTAACACGAGTTTATATTGTGAAGCGGCTGTTTGCATGGCTATATTTTGATTTGAAGGATGGAATCATCGTCATCATCATTTCAGCCATTATTCGTCCACTGCTGGACATAGACCTCCCCAATAGACTGCCATAAGGAACGGTCCTGAGCCACCTGTATCCACTGTCTCCCTGCAATGCATTTGAGGTCGCGACTCTATCTAGTAGGAGGTCGTCTTACACTGCATTTGCCTGTACGGAGTCGACACTTAAGAACCTTTTTCCAAAGGATTCCTTTCAAGAAGTATGGGATGTGGTACCAATGGGCATAATAGTGATTATAAGCGACGGTGACCATTTTCCATAAAGTGGACCATCAGCTTGATTGCCATTCTAAGGAAATATCATAGAAAAATCACTAAACTATTGTTAAATAGTAAGTATCGTAAGTCATACTGTATTGTGACGTTTTTAAATTCGGGGATGCCCCATTCTTAATTTAATTTGTATAGTAAATGAGTACTGACATAATTTATAACATATTTTGTTAATGTATACTTGTCACGACATTTTATTATACAAGAAATTTTGTCGACTCTGTTTTATCTATTTTTTGACCAGTATATTTTATTTCAATTTTATTATGTACTATTCTTTGTTCAAATGTCATAATTTTAATTTTTCCTTTATTAATTTTTAAATTCGATATTACATTGTTTTTATTTTTTAACAAATCTAGCCCTATTTTAATTGGATTTAGCCGAAAAACATGATGCCGAGTTGGCAACACTGTGACGGCCTTACGGCCAGCGAAGGGCGCAGTACTAAAATCTTAGTGGCATCGATCGAACACGCTATCTCATTTATATTCTACGCGGGATCTTCTCAAAATCAAGGAGTATGTGATTCGATTTCTATACACGCGGGTGTTTATATGGAGCTGTTATACGCTCAATAGCGTAAAATTGTATCTCTCTCGTCCCTTTAATCGCCTTTACCTGCTACTAATAGCTACACTTCTCCTTACGTTAACGACATAAGAGTAAAATATGTCACCATTACTTTTCCTCCTCAGGACGTAATGACAGGCAACTAAGAGTGAGACAACGAGGTAAAAACGAAGGAAAATTCGAAATAAATCTCGTAAGCACATAGCCACTAAGCCGCCATCATATAAAATTGTTCCTGACAGTTTATGGTCACTATATTTATTTTATACTATGGTCATGTATATCTGCGGTTCTCTTTTTAAGTACAACTTAGAAAGAGAACCGCAACTACAATTCTTAATCTATGCTCGTCTAGTATTTTCACAAGATAAATTTAATGCCACTCTATTTGTTAAAATCGATCAAACCGTTTAATAGCCTAAGATACAAAACTGAGAGTGCGCAACCTGAGTGCACTGTGTGTGCATCTTCGTCCATCTTTCATTTAAACCAAATTTCATTTAAAAAGTTTAATGCCTGTAATATTTTGCGAAGGAATCTTAGTCTAGAAGTAGCTCATTGCGTCGAAGATTCCACATACGTGCATAAATATATATTTACGTACAGGTCGAAATCATTTATATAAAAAAAGGTATTCTTTTAGTGAAGTTGAACATTTTTCCCAAAATATGGGACAATAAATGACAACAAATATAGAGCATCCTACACTACTTTAGTCTAGTCCTATCATGTTAGTGTAAAAGATTTTATTTACTTTTTTACCTTTAGTTATATTTTTTGTTTTAGGAAAAATGTTCAATTTAAGTGGTAGAATATTCTCTTAAAAGGATCCTAATGATTTTGGTTTTACAATATATTGGTGTTATAATATATAAAGCTAAAACTATTAACTCCCATTTCTTCGGCAGGCGGGTGACATGTTTCAGCCGCTCTATACAAGTTATGGGCTCACTCAATCGGAAACATCAATTGAGTGAGTCATCGCGAGTCACATACTAAATACAAACAGGCGTCTAACTTGGATGCTGAGCTGTCATGAAACAACATATTATATATTACAGTCCTATGTAGAGATGCGGTACCAACATTGCAACTTTTCACGCTAGGTAATCCAATTAAAGTTTGCGCGGTTCGGTTGGTACACAATGTTTTTATCACTTGTCGAACAATCTTAGAATGTATTTTTACTGAAATAACGGTCAGTGACCGTATGCACTTTGAAATGGTAAAAATGCTGATCGTCCATCTAATCTAAAATGGTAACCGTCACT